CCCGGCACCCGGGCTGTGCTTGTTCTTGGGGTCAGGCGGAGCGGGACTGGGGGCCACGGGAGTTTGAGCAGGGGGTCTCTGCCAGGGCGAAGGTGTAAACTACTGTCCTGGGCACGGAGCTGGAGGTGGCCCTGCGAGAAGCGGTGACCGGAGGTCTCGAACCTGGTGTGACAGCGCGCGCGCCTGCAATCGCAGCACTCCCGAGACAGAAGCAGGAGGTTGTGGGTTCGAGGCCAGTGCGGGCGACAGCGTGAGACCCTCGACTCTGAAACTCGTGGTTATGAGGCATAGATTTCTCGGCGGTCCGGGGGTTGGAAAAGTGTACTCTCCCCTGCCTTGTCCCCTGCCCCCGTCCCCAAAAGCCATTCCAGCCGTGTTGGGGGTGAGGACCGAAAGAGGCTGGGGCAGCAAGTGACCCCATCCCGACTCTCCCGCCGTTCCTTCTCCCCGACCCAGAAGGGTCTTCTGTTAAGATGGGGGCAAGGAGTGGCCAGCAGCTCGGCTGCCGAAATTACTGGAGTTGAGGACAGACGCGGTGGGGTTCCCAAGTCCTGAGGGGTTCATTAATTCGTGTGTTCCATAATTTTTTTCTCAGTACTGGGGACTGAACCCAGGGCCTTCCACCGAGCTACACTTCCATCTCCCTCTTTATTTTTATTTTGAGACAATGTCTCCCTGAGTGACTAAGTTGCCCAGGGCTCAAACTTGATGTGACCCTCCTGGCTCAGCCTCCCAGAGTGCGCGGCGCGCCGGGCTCCCGGTGCCTGGATCTGTCCCAGTGCCCAGAGGCAGCGGTGAACAATGCCAAGTCCCTTCCCTCGTGAAACCTGCATTCAAGGGCAGAAACAGTAAACCTAGACATAAAAGCCTGGCTCTATGTCCCGAGTGAAAGTACAGGGAGAAGACAGTGACAGGTGACCACACAGGCCGGGGTCCCATGTGAGAGAGGGAAAGAGCAGCCGGAGGCCCGGCCGGGGTGGGAGCTGGAGGCCAGGGCATGCGGGAGACAGCTCAGGGGCGCTGGGGCGCGCCTGCTGAGCTAGGTGGGCTCTGGGCTCGATGCTGCCGGCAGGGACGCCACAGAAGGACAGTCAGGCCTCGCACCAGCGGCGATGGTCGACTTCAGCCGCAGGGGCAAGCTGAAGATTCCATGTGCGGCAAGTTCCGGGGTGGGTTTCGAGCTGGTAGACGGAACCAGCATCGCCAACAGCCAGCCAGAAGCCCACGTGCCGGTTCTCACACTCGGAGGCCCCGACCGCGTCTCTGGATCTGGGAAGAATCGATCTTTACCGGCAGGACAGAGGTGTGACTGGGCCAGAGTCTCGGGTTGGGACCCACACCCTCTGGTAAGGCTGAGGGAGAGCGCTGCGGGACTGGGCTGCAGGAGACCCTTGCTTTGAGGCCCAGGCAGCATCTTTCCCTGCAGATGGCTGCCGGCTGGAGGGGACAGCGCCAATAGCTGATTCCAGGCAGCCTGACAGATGGGAAAGTTGGGCTGAAACCAAGAAAATGAAATTCGCCAAAGATAAAGTGTTAGATCCTGTGCAAGGGTTCTCAAAAGTTGTTACACAAGAATAGCACTGGGAAATCTGGCTCCCTGGAAATGTCTGTGAAATAGAAAGAATCCGGGCGTGGTACATGTGTGTAAACCCTGCACTCTGGAGGCTGAGGCAGGAGGATCTTGGCAGGTTCCAGGTCAGCCTGGGCTACATAGTGAGACCCTGTCTCAAAATAAGTAAAAATTAAAAAATAAAAGGAAGAGAGAGAGCATCTGGTGGTTTGGCCCCGCACCCATTATGAGGTCCCCTTGAACTAGGGGTCTCCAGCCATGGGCCTAGCCAGGAGGGCCTCGAGGTGAGGGCCTGGCCAAGTGACCGTTCACTCCTAGGCAAAACACTGCCGCAGAGAAGGCGACAGGCACGAAGGGCCTGGAGTGCGCTGCGGTGCCATCTGGTGTGGCTGTGACCGGCGCCTGGCCCGGGGCGCGGTGATCTGGAAGATGGAGTCAGGCCCCCACTGCAGGCTTCAAACAGAGGAAGGAGACAGACCCCTGCGGGCCAGCGACGCTGGAGGTTGAGGGCCTGAGGGGGAAAGTGGGGGGCACGGAGCCGATGCCCCTCGGAGCGGCAGCAGGGCCCCTCCCCTCCCGGATTGTGCGGGAGCTGGGGGGTCCCGAGGCCGGAACCCGGCACCGGGGGCGGGGCCGCGGTGGGCGGGGCCGCGGTGGCG